ACGAACCTAGAAAAAGTAGGTGGACCCTGGCATGAAAGCTTTGAACGTCATGCTAAGCAGTGTAGATGTCTTGCTAAATATTTGGGGGCACCATTACAGGGTTCTTATTGAGGTACGAGGAGCCTTGGTTGCGCAGTGGTGAAAGCGCTTGGCCGCTTACTGAAAGATCTGTGATTCGAACCCATCAGATGCTCCTTGGGAGAAAGATTTGGCAGTCTGCTTCTGTAGATTACAGCCTTGGAAATCTGATGGGGCAGTTCCTATAGGGTCACTGTGAGTCGGAATTGACTTGATGACGATGAGTTTGGTTTTGCTTGTTTTTTTTTTGAAATTTGAGGGACAGACATGATTGTTTTATAAAGATTGCCCAGGAATACTATCCTAGAGGCAGCAACTTCTATGTCTGTCAGCCTCCTGCTTTCTCTTGTCCTCAAGCCCACAGGTACAATGTACATGTTCAGATTACTGACCGGTACCTTATAAATGGGGGCGGCAGAAAGGATATCACTAGAAGTGTAGGAGATCAGTTGGAAGTGGGTAATGGCTAGGAAGGCAGTCGTTGAACTTATCTGACCACTCTTTCTGTATTTCTTTGATGCATACTTGCTTTCTTTTGGCCATTGTCATATCATCCTGCTCTTGTGGACTTGGTCTATATATTCATATGTAAGAGGTTAATACTTGTTGAATAAGGCAAAGAAAACTGGTCTTCCTGCATCCACCTTTCTCCCCTTCCAGTGTGGTCTGAACACAGCAGCCAGAGTGGTCCTTTTAAAATTTCAGTGAGATCATGCCTTCCTATGCCCAGAACCCTCTAATAGCTCTGCATCACATTCTGAGTCAAAGCCAAAGGCCTTGGCATGATGTAGAGAGCCCTGCATGACCGGGCCTCTCTCACCTCTCCGACCTCATCTATCACCCCTCCTATTTATTCTGTTCTTCTGTGCTGGCCTTGCTATTCCTCAAAACAGACATGCTGTTCCTTGTACCTGGAACACTTCTCAGATACAGGGCTCATCACCTCACTTTGTACAAGCCATTGCTCAATGATGCCATCTCAGAAAGACCTTCCCTGACCGCTGTGTTCAAAATTTTTTAACCCCCACCCCTCCCACTCCCTATTCTCTTCCTGATCCTGCATAAGTTTTCTGCATAGCACATACTAGTTTTGTTGTTGTTGTTAGGTGCTGTCAAGTCAGTTCTGACTTGTAGCAACCCTGTGTACAACAGAATGAAACACTGCCCAGTCCTGTG